GATTAATTACTAAAAATTGCCGAAAATTAGTCTTTAATAATTTTTTACTCAAATATTATCAACTTTACAGAAAAACTGTAAGGGACAAAAATTATTTATTTTTTTTCTCATAAACCTCTAAGAATTTTTTCAGAAATTTTTATCAACTTTTTAGTATTGCATTTTTTTATTTTTACCATCACATGAGAAAATATGGATTTTTTTATTAAAAAATTCTGAAAAAATTTTGAAAAAATAAACAATTTTTGCCTCTTGCAATTTTTCTGTAAAGTTAATAGTATTTGAGTAAAAAATTATTGAAGACCAATTTTTAATATAATAATTAATATCTCGTTAATTATTGCGAAAATTGCAAAATGGAATGAAATTCGTAAAGGACTTTTTGACTTAATTTAGTCCGCTCTACCCGCCCATGAAATATTTGGCGATTATTTTGGGACACCCTGTATAATTTATAATAGTAAAAATAAAAAGGAACATACTGAAAGAAATATTTAAAATAAAACAATAGGATAAGAGAGTACGAATATATAAATAACTATAATATTTATTTTCATATTAGGAAGGAAAATAGAAAGAACGCAGTTAAAACGCAACACATGATACAATATATTACTCCGTCACTAACGAAATAAATTAATTACGATAAATATACGAAGAAATATAGAAATAAATGCGAAATCGGTTCACGTGTTCGAATCTGCGCTTGTACTGGAAATCATTATACCGGAAACCAATCTCGCAACAAACGCGTATGCGACCAATTATCGTTGAAGAGTTAATAGCATGAAATTTTCAATTACATCGAAATACTTCAACCGCGGGAAACAGAACGGTGTTTGAAATTGCAGCATTCCACGTGAAGTGGATTCTTATTCGCGATTATTATCACGGGAATTATTGGAATTTTGCTATACGATACAGTTTTACGATGGAGCAATGTCAAGTATTCGTTTGTCAAAAAGCCTCAATTCCGGAAAGCTTAATCCGCAAAACCAAAAGAGCTTGCATAAAGTAAGATTGTCGAAATCGCACCACTTTTTATTTAAAGGCTTATGAAGAATATTTTTAAGTTTTTTACAGCACAATAAACTGCACTCTTTTCTCTTTCTTATGTAATTTGTTTATAATTGTTTTGCGCTATTATAAATGAGGATTTTTTCAATATGAGGATTTTTTCAATATGGTATTTTGGCAACGAGGAAATTCGTTGTCTAAATCGCACCATACCAATATTCGTCATTTAAAACATTATAATAACGCAAAAAATTTAAAAATTACATAAGAAAAGGAAAAAAATTGTATTTTATTATTATGCTGTTAAAAACTTAATATATTTTTCATAATTTCTGAAACATATGATAATTTCAAGAAGTAATTTAAAGAGCTTCGAAACAAAATAAACAATGATAAATTATAAATTAATAAAAACTAATAAGTTTTTATAGACTCCTTTACTTAAAACAATTAATGAAACCGTAAAAATATATTACAGCTAATAGAAGTCGACGTTGATTATCTTTTAGCGCAATTTTTCTTAATACTAAAAATATAAACCTTAACTTTGAACATTTCCACTCATGGTTTGAGTCTTCATCAGCAATCTTTCCCCCTAGCGCAACGATTAGAGTATTGTATGACAAAATGATATCTTCAACGTATTTCTTCTCAAAAATTGAACCGTTTACTGTTTTGTGAGATAAGTCACATACTCACAAAGTTAGAAAGCTGAGTGGCAATGAGAACTCAAGCTCACACAGTCGACGTTTCTACACTGAACAATGAATCTCTCTTATGCAACATTTTGTAACTCGTTAATATATTATAAATTATTGTCAAATTTTTAAAAAATAACTGCGAGAACAATATGTGTCTTGTTATTTCGACAGTCGGTTAAATAAACACTTTGTAGGTTTATAATTTTTCCGTAATAATAAATAGAATAAAAATGTAAGAAATAGAAAAATATTAGGTAAAACATGCGATTTAAAAGGTTAGATTATGGTGCGATTTAAGAAACTAGAGCATTTTTAAAATTTTTATTTATTTAACCCATAAAAAAACGTAAAGCAAACTTTAGTCCTATTAATTTAATTTAAATAATATCCTAATCGAGGCGTTGAGTGGCTTACCGCTCGGTGTGGTTGACTTCGCGATGGGTTCAATCCCACCTGCGCCCACATATGCGATTTTTCGCATTTAAGGATCCGAAAATGACTCCATTTAGTGATTAAGAGATCTTTGATTACCAACGCCGTTCGGATCCGGCGTTAAACTATAAATCCTATATATCAGTGAATATATGTACGCTTGCCAACACGCATGGCAAGCGTAGCGTTTTAATGCCAAATTCTTTCTTTCCAAAGATTATGTATAATGGAAAACGATTGGAAGAGTGGATATCTAAGAGTGGATAAAATCAGACTGATGTAAATATTCTAATTCTAATCACGATAAATGATCAAGACTTAGGCTATTTAACTTATATTTTCTTTGTAATTCTGAAATACGTTGAAAATTGTCATGAGTATAACGGAGTAGTGTTGCAGTACCATGTAGTTTTTAACCCTAGCTGTATACACTTGTTTTTTGCACCCTTGATTACACACTGGGACCTCATCCATATTTGTTACCTTAACTTTCGTAAAAATGAATATATTTTAATCAATTTTTTTTAATTGATGGATTTAAATGATTAAGGAACAAGCCCATAATGTGTAAAAGTCGATAGAATTAAGGAATTTCGAGATATATAGGTTCAAAAAAAAAGAAAAATTTAGAAACGTGAAAAATCTCGATTTAAAAAGTTGCGCTGGGGTCCCGGGGACCCCAGTGTGTGCAGCTAAGGTTAAATAACCCGTAAGAAAGTATATAAATACAATAATTGAATTTTTAAGCGAGGTAGTGCGATTTCAGTAACTGTATCTTATTCGCGTTCATATAAGCAAAACACTTTTTTACATCATGAAGTTATTTGATATACAATTTTGATAGAGTTTAGTGATCTAATTTAATTATTTAAATTTAAACTGAATAATTTAAGTTACATTTTATTTTATTTCGACTTTATATATAATCACTAACTTATGATTCATCTTATTAAGATTACAAACTCTTTTATAAAGATAAATTATGGCTTCCGGTTTCTATAGCTCTATAAAAATATTGACCTTTTATCCAACATAAAATATATCGTGAGAATGACATCTTGTATGTTTTGATTCAAAATGGGTTTTTCGATGCGATTTGAAATTTTCGCGTTCGTCGCCGCGTAAGCGTTTATTGCAACGTCGGTTATAAATCTCGAGTGATTTATCAATGACATTTTTTTTATGCGTATCACGAAACATTTTATAGCGGAAACTACTATTTTTTTCACAGTGACAGTTGTGAGCGATTGAGATGTCCATAGTTGCAGTGTGTCATCCAATTCTAAGTCTGAATGAATAGTGTTCTTGAAATAAAAGTTTGCTGTTAAGCATTATCATATTATCTCGTATAAAAAATAATATTTTTTGCATATTTATTTGAATACAAATTCTCAAGAAAAGAACTCACACTTTTCTAAACTAGTATCATTAGAAACAATTTTATTATTTAAGATATTATTTCATACGAATTCATTACATCTTGCTTTACTGTTTAACATTTTATTTTTTGAATTTATTATTTTTAGTATCTGAGATAGAGTTTACATTTAATTGGCATTGTATTCTGATAGACTTTAGGTCAATACATTAAACTTCACAGTGTACTCGCGAACTCCAGGCGCAATTAGGATTTGCCAACGTCTAATTGCAATAGTCCCAAACACGTTACAGTCGGAACGAACTTCGGCAAGAAGCTTTATTGCGATTCCCGCAATTTCCACACCCACGGAAACTCGACTCAGCCAATTTTGTTCGGACGAAAAGACTTTCGATTAAGTAGCAAGCGCTGACGTGTCATCTCAAGCGTTCTTATAGCTTTTCGAGAGTGACAGTAATTGTTTAGCCGAAAGTAAATATCACAGGGAGACAATCGGGAAGGACATTCTAAATTGGAAAATATTGTCGCGTAGAAGTCATATAGAGGAGACCGTGGTTAGTATAGACAGTCTAGGGCAGTGTTATTGCGGGCCAAAAAATAATTTCACTAAATCTTTGCTTCAAAATTCATTAAAAGGCCCCAAAAGTCACTAAATGCGTGAAATGATTAAAAAAAAGGAGAAAACAGGGTGAACATATTTTTGCAATCCCTGTTGACAGTACGGTTGCTCTTCAATAAATAAATACTACCGTTTTGTGGCACGCTTTATCACAATTTTCGGGAACGAGTTCCTCAAGCCTTTTTCTCATAGCTTGTCTCGATAGAAACTACTCGTCCCGTCGCGCGGCGTCTCCTTCCTCACCAGCGCCTCGCTTGCGCCACCTCCGTCTATGCGGGGGTCGGTAATCTTAACGGTCGATAATTATCGCGCGCTACAGTTCGGCCGTCCTGATAAGAGTTTAGTCCCACAAACTAAACTATGACACTAGATCCAGTGGAGACCATCTAAAACTAAAAGTTACAAGCGCTAAAATAAAATGAATGAACTGAAACATTATATACACCGGGCGTTCCGATGGTTGAGAAAATAAATCAATACACATAACCGTAATACAATGGTTTGCTTATTATTTAATTAGTCTAGAGGAGGGTCCTTCAAGGGTGCCCATAGTCTGAGGTTACTAGCGTTTCAGATGCTCTGATATATCTTTTGGGTATTCTGGAATCCTGGAGGATCCGCAATTACATACCTATCGTGTTTAAAGACCTTTACAACTTCACACGGACCACGATATTGCGGGAGTAGCTTCCGGCTAGTACCTGGAGTGCTGTCAAAATTTCGAATCATCACTAAGTCGCCCTTTTTGTATTGTTTGGAAGCCTTGTGTTTACTATCGAAGGCTGTCTTTTGTCGTTGTTGGGACTGGTTAATCCGTTGCTCGGCTTGATTGCGCATTGCCTCTAAGTCTCGGTTAGGAGGATCCAGTTTTTCTTCCAATACCCGGGTGCGGGCCTCGCTGGTCTATACCGAATACTAACTGGCTGGGACTCTTGCCGGTAGACCGATTAACCGCATTGTTGATGGAGTATTCTACTTCGTGCAATATATTGTACCTTTGCCATCCATTACTGGGATTGGACAGTTTTGCGATACAAGGAGCCAGAACCCGGTTGATCCGCTCGGCCTGACCGTTTGCCTGCGGGGATCCCACCGCAACCTTTATATGTTGTATTCCTTGTTTTTTCATGAATTTCTCAAATTCCTGTGACGTGAAAGAGCTTCCCCGGTCCGATATGATCCTCTGGGGTTTGCTGTAGCTCTGGAAAAATTGTGTTAGACAGGCCGTTGTTTCCTTAGTGCCTGTGGTCTTGGTTGCGAATAGACGAACGAATTTGGAAAATGCGTCTACTATCGCCAAGACGTATTTCTTCGAGGATACTTGCCTGTCGACCGGCCCGAAGTGATTAATGTGTAAAGTTTCGAACGGTAGTCTTCCTTTTGGGATGGGGTTAAGATAACCTTCTTCTTTACCCGAAGTTGGAGAGAACGAGATGCACTTCAGGCATCTTCGAACATGATCTTCGCATTTTTCCCGTATGTGCGGGAACCAATACGTACGCCTAATGACATCTATCATTCTTCCGGGCCCGATATGACCCATTTCGTTATGATACCGAACCAGAACGGGACTCTCCATCTGCCGCGGTATCATGAACAGCGATTTGCCCCCATGCTTTTTATAAACCAAACCATCGCGCATCTCGTATTGCGGATCGTCCTTGGATTCCAGTTTAGAAATAATGTCTTTAATGATAGAGTCTCTATTTTGTAAAACCGCCAAGTTCCACTCAAAAGGATTGTCCTCCACTACTAGCACCCCGAAAGCCCTGCTAAGTGCGTCTACGTGGGCCATTCTAGACCCTGGTCTATGCACCACCCTAAAATCAAAGTTTTGAAGTTCGAGATTCCAGCGCGCTATTTGGGCATTGATGTCCCATTTTTCCAATGTTTGCGTTACTGCATTACAATCTGAGACAACCACGAATTGAGTACCCTGCAGGTAAATGCGGAATCTGCGAAAAGTATAGACAATCGCTAGAGTCTCCAACTCAAAGCTGTGATATTTTGCTTCCACCTCCGTTATGCGACGGAAATAGAACACAGGATGCATAGCATCGTTACCCTGCCGTTGCAATAGCACAGCCCCAAAACCATAGTATTTTGCTTCCACCTCCGTTATGCGACGGCTAAAATAGAACACAGGATGCATAGCATCGTTACCCTGCCGTTGCAATAGCACAGCCCCAAAACCATGGGAACTTGCGTCACAATGCAGTTCCGTGTACGCCCTCGGATTATATACCGCCAAGATAGGTGACTCTACTAGCCTAGTCTTGAGCGTTTCAAACGCCATTTTTTCAGTCTGTCCAAAACGGAACGGAACGTCCTTTTTAAGTAGCTCATACAACGGTCGGGCAATCAGTGAGAAATTTTTGATAAATTTTCGAAAGTACGAAGCTAACCCCACAAAAGAGTGGACTTCCTTTACTGTTCTAGGCTTCGGAAAATTCTGTACTGCCGCGATACCCTTATCTGTAGGCCGAACCCTATTCTGAGTAATTTTATAGCCTAAATACTCGGTGTATAAGATTTCGGTGTATAAGAACGCACACTTCTCCAATCGCAGTTCGAGCCTGTTCTATACCAGTACTGTATATACTTTCTTCAATGTTTCAATGTGCGAATCTAACGTTTTACTTGCTACTAGAATGTCGTCCATGTATACCACTACGTCTCCTCTTTTTACAAGATCGGCCATTACCTCATTTATGAATCTTTGAAACAGTTGGGGACCGAATTTAATTCCAAACGGCATCCGAACAAACTCGAACTGGCCCATCGGAGTTATAAATGCAGTATATTTGATTGATTCAGGCGCCATTGCTATATGATAGAAGCCATCTTTTAGATCCAGCGTGCTATAATATCGCTTACCTCGTAACGCATCGAATTGATCCTCGATCAACGGTAACGGGCAATTATCCCGTGCCAGCACCTTGTTCAACGCACAATAATCGACACACATTCTTGTGTCGCCATTCTTTTTCTTAGTCAACACTAGGTAAAGCGTATTCGGAGGTGATAGCTCGGACAATACCCCGCTTCATAAGATCGTCCAATATCTCCTTTTCTTTTTTGACAAATCCTAACCTTCCTAGGACCAAATTGGATGGTCACCCTTTACCATCAAGATGGCCTTCACTTTAGGCAACTCGTTCGGGCCTGAAATAAGAATTCTGTATAACATGTACGAACTATCGCGGAATTCCGCGTCAACTTTCGGATTAATTTCTAAGCGCTCTACTTCAGTATCGCTGTAACTCTCGATACATAATATCTCACTAACCGCTTTGTCAAACATAGAACTATTCGTTAGCCTATAACCAAACAATTTCAACACGTCTCTACCTAGCAGCAATGGAACCGACATCGTCTCATTCGGAACAATCCCGATGTTGACTGATTTAGTTTTTACCTTCTATAGTAACTTCGGCTCTGGTTACCCCCTTAACCCAGAGCTTGGAGTCATTAATGCCCCGATATCGGTTCCATTCCTTACCTGGAGTGGTTACGCTTTCTGTGTTTACTACTTGTTCTCGAACTAGAGTGATCGGACACCTTGTGTCAATTTGTGCCGTTAACGAAACCTGTGCGCTTCCTGACATCTTTAGTTCCACGTCTCGCCGAAAGTCATCTCGCAACTCGTCAGCTATGTTGAGTAGATAGATTTCATCCTCCTCCTCGGAATTGTTGTCCACGTTCTCGCTATTGAGTTTATTTTCATCGGAGCTTGGCTGTCCCTCGTCGTCGCGTTGATTAAAGCTAGCTGCCTGTCAGCTTCTGGAGGTTACTCAGGGTCATGACCTTGACAACATATGTCAAGGTCATTGAAGGGGGGTCCCCTAATCAGTATTTTTATATAAAAAAAATAACTATAATATACCAATTATAGAATTAGGTATTGACATAACAACTCATTTTTTACACTTTAGTCTGTAGTGAAATTTAAAATGAAACCTATATATAATACAAATCATATAACTAGATTGACTGCGTTCAGTCAGAAAACGCAATTTTGAGATTCTTGATTGGTTTATGTTAATATGGTCCAATATTTAGATTCAATGAGGAATTGAAAACAAGATCAATAAGAGGAGTAGACATACAAATTTACCAAATAAAGAAAGTAATTCACTAAATCACCAAAAAACTATAAAAATCACTAAATTAGTGAAAAATCACCAAAAACGGCAACACTGCTATAGGGGTAAGAATAATCGAAGCTATGGTTATAAACAATCGAGGTTATAGACAATATAAACAAATCGCGCGAGACACGTGTAAACGTGTCTGAGCACGCAACAGTGACTGCCGCACAGTCTGCTGTGATATCTCGATTTTTTTAAATTGTAGCGTAACTTCTACGATAGATGGACGCGTCTGTCGTAGAAGTTACGCTACAATTTAAAAAATCCTTAAAGTTTTTGTTTTACAATCGTATGTCTGAGATATTTGATTTCCATTTAGCTATAGTAAGTATAATTCTTACTTAATAAAGTCCAATAGATTTTTTTTGTTTATCTGTCTTTGTGTCGTATACTGTTAATTTTTTTTTTAAATGAATGGATGAGGCTAGTAGGCTGATTACAACACAGGGCTATGACTAATTTAGTGACGATTCTGATAGTACCTACTCTCAAAGATAGTACTTCTTGGAATGAAACTCTAAAGAAAGTACCGGATTTCCGAAAAAAATGTTTAACCTGCGTAAACTTAGAAAAATTAAAAAAGTTGAACCGTCAAAGCCCTAGAACTTTTTAGATATCAGTTTCAGCGCATCGGTTATTAAGGATAATCGTTAGAACTCTTGGGGGGGGAAACAGAACTCTCAAGAAAATAATGGATTTCCGAAAAAAATATTTTACCCGCGTGGACTTTGAAAAATTTCAAAAGTTCTGGTTGTCCCCCCAAGAGTTCTAACGATTATCCTTAATAACCGATATCTAAAAAGTTCTAGGGCTCTTTGAAGTTTCAACTTTTGAAATTTTCCATTCAAGGCGCTAAAACTTTTTCGATCTCAGTTGTTTCATTATTAAGGATTATCGTTAGAACTCTTTGAAGGCTGTCAGAATTCATTACAGGATGCCGAAAATCTAAAAAAAGATTTTTGTTTCAATAATTAATTCTTTTTGAAAAAATTTTTTTTTGGAAATCCATTATTTTCTTGAGAGTTTTGTTTGCCC